TTAGTCTCACAAACTTTTGTTTCCCTGCAAACAATGATGGGAAACACAACAGAGAAACGCAATGGAGCTGGGCTAGGGTGATGGCGCCTGTGCCCTCAGCGAGGGCTCTGCGTGCCACTTCTGGCACACGTGCCATAGATTCGTCACCACGGGTATAGGATATCCTGCTTGAGCAGAGGGTTGGAAAACAACACTTCCAAGGACTCTTCTAACTCTGTTATACTGTATTTTTATTTATCTGGAATTTGAATCTGAAAATTGAGTATTGAGAGGAATCAGTGCATATTTAAGAAACGCATCCTCTTTCCCCCCATAATTCAATATTTTCCCCAAATATCCTTGCCATTACAAAAAAAAAGGCAGAATAATAGAACTGGCCTTGGGTGTAGTTATTCATGTAGAACTTCAATAATTGCTCAACACCAATATTTTATAAGGATCAAAACAAGTAAAAGTTATTAACATAACTAAGTGAAGTTTAGAACCTCAGTAAATACTATAATTATTATTATTAAAATACATAACATTTTAAATGTTATTTTAATTTAGCTAGACCATATTTCACAATGGTAATTCTCCAGCTACTGTAGGATTAATTTGAAGCAAGTTGTTTATGTCCACACCTTTTTCAGTGTTGACTTTCTATTAATTCTCTTGGGAAATTCCTATATATTCTAATACATGCTCACGCACAACCGGCACATTATTTTCCTGCAGTCATTTCACTTTCTCTCATTTCTTTTACTTTACTTTTCATCCATATCTAGGTATTTTTTTCTAAGACATGCTTTTGATCTCGTCTGTGCTCAGAAATTCTCATTGTATTCCACATGAATTCTTTCAGCCTAAACAATCAAAACAAGCTTACTTTTAAACTATTTTTAATGTTTAAACCACCAATTTCAAAACAAATATTTTTCAAAGCTCACCATTCATTATTGTGATTCATGTTTAAGTTTCTGAATGGCCCACACATTTTTTCTGCACTGTTATCTCATTATCACCTATCTATTCATCTCACCTATCAGAACCATTACCCCCCCCCCCAGCCTTAATTATGTATTCATTTCCTAAAACAAATTTCTGGCTGTTATCAATATTCCCTTGAATTTAACATGGAACTAGCACCTATTTCTCACTTTAATATATGCAAACAACAACACAGATAATCTAGATAACAGCAGCTTTTTTTCCATTCGGATATATTTTAGATTTTTCATTCACAATTAATTCTGCATGTATATTCCTCCGTTGATGCAGCCTAGGACTGCATTGGCCTTTTTGGTAGCTGTACCACATTGCAGACACATATTTAAAGTGATTGCTCACTAGGATTCCTAGATCCCTCTCAGTTACTGTTGTTGAACCAGATATCATCTATTCTATTCTATACCTGTGCAGTTGGCTTTTCTTGCCTAAGTGTCAAATATTACTTTTCTCACTACTGATTTGCATTTTGTTGGTTAAGCGCCAGTGCTCAAGTCTGTCAAGATGATTCTAGATCTTGAGTCTATCTTTTAAAGCCCCCCCCCCCAGCTTGTTATCATTTGTGAATTTGATTTGTTCCCCTTCTATCTCTTCATCTAAATTGTTTATAGAGATGTTGAAGAGTACCGGGCTTAAGATACAACCTTGGGATACCCTAGCTGTGTTGGAAAAAGTTGCATTTTCCCCTTAACAAATATGCAAAACAAATGACAAAGATCAGCTTTAAACTGATTTGCACATTCATAGTCCTTAACTCAAATTTCAATTCACTTATGGCTTCCTTCCTGTCTTTGAGCAAGTTACTTTCAAGGCTTCTTTCATACCTTCAGCATGGGAAAAAAACGTAGGCCTATTTTAGAGGGGATTTATATCTGTAATTGAGATAAAGTGGCCAAGCATATTTGCTTGTTTAAATAAGCACAATCAACACAAGCTATGAAAAAGGGTAACATTACCATACATCAAAAACATATCAGAAACAACTGGTAGATTATTACAACCACACAGCATTTTGGTGGTAAACAAACCAACTAAAGCTCTCTGAACCATATTAAGTAAACTAAAATGCCCTGTAGCTCAAGAAGAAAAAAGAAGAATCATCTACAACATACAGTGTAAAACGTATAACAGTCATGATATAGGACAGGCAAGCAGAAAACTAGCAGAAAATATCCATCAACACCATCAAACCATAGTTTCAATTAGGAAATTACAAGCATGCCAGACCAATCCAAATCCAAAAATGCTAGGGAATTCCTAGAAGCTTGGCATTTGGACAAATCAGTCATCAATGGACAGAAATAAATTATATTTACATGCCATTCAGACAACAAAAAAGCTATGAAGAAAACAAAAAAGATCAAAACACATCCTTTCCAACAGACAACAGCTAGATAAAAGGATTACTACCAAACAATCGAGGAGAGAAAAAAGCTACACCCTCACCAACACTGCAAGAGAACAATACTGTATATAAACAGGGATAAAACACTAACTAGAATTGATAAATCTTACTTAATTGGCTATGAAATGTCTGCAACTAAAGAACCAAGCTCAATACCAAAGACTCTACAAAGGACTCTATTCTGTTTTTTATTTATTTAATCTATTTATTCAATCTCTACAGCTACCCCATTTCAAGCAAGTGATTCTGGGCAGCAAGCAATCATAAAACAATTAAAAACAGTTATAACACAGTACAAAATTAAATATATATGGCAGCCAAGAGAAAAAAGCCATACTAGATGTAAATATAGCAAGTAAATTAGGCTCTTCAACCTCCCAGGCACAGGGACAAAGCTAGGGCCCTACTAAATGCCAACAGGGTTGGGGTCATCCTCAACTCTGAAGGGAGAATGTTCCAGAGGCCAGGGGTTTTAGCAGAAAGGCATGTTGTTATGTATGCAAATGGTAGAGGAGTGTTGAGTATATTATATAACACTATATAACACATGTCTTCTAATCCCTGCCAACTAACGTTCCTTGGCTGACGAGACCCATAGCCTCCCCAACCTGCCAGGGCTGTTTTTCTTATCTACTAGGTAATGCATAGCCTTCTTAAAATATTTTTCAAACATTATACCCTGCCTACTACTTAAATAAATGCACTTTGCATAGCCAGATAAGCCATTGAAATATATGGGCAGATACAGTTACATGTACAAAATCTGAAATGTCAAGTTTAACATAAATAACAAGGAGCCCTAAGCTAATTGTAGAGGAGACAGAATAATTTAAAAAAATTGAATGAAATTGTGGCAACTGGGCCTAAGACTCTGTCAACTTTTACTTTGGACATGATCTGCAAACAATGAATATGCAGTAGTCCAGGGTGTCAAACTCAATTTCATTGACTGCTGCATCAGGGTTGTATTTGACCTCAGGGGACCAAAGTGGGCTTGGGCAGCTCGATTTCACTCATGTCAGGGGCACCTGTGGTGGCTCGAGCGCTCTGCCAGAGAAAATGGGCTCCCGAGCTCTGTTTTCGACTGTGATGGCCTCCTGTAACTTTCTGCCAGGGAAAACGGAGCTAGGGAGGGCCATATGCGCCCCACCCAAGCTCTGTTTTTGCTGCCAGAGACATCATGGGCCAGTCCTTCGCTGTTTCCAAAGTGGCCCTGTGGCCCAGATCTAAGCATCCTGTGGGCCAGATCCAGCCCCAGGCCTTGAGTTTGACACCCCTGCAGTAGTCAGTGCTACAGAGAAATTCAAGAAAGTTTCTAATAATTAAGATCATACATTTGATTTTAGTTATAAGGCCAAGAAGCGATAATGTCTTAAATTTTGATAACAAGGGTATTAAGCAGGGCATTACCATTACAGCAAGGTGAGAATATCTGGGTTCTATATAGCCGTTTGAATGAACTCAAGGGTCATTATGACTTGCAACAGCAGTCTGGCTACTTTCCGCAACTATAAAAAGTTCAATTTACTGGAGGTACCACTATCCCTCACCCCAAGTTAATAATTCAGATTAATGTATAACCAGAAAGTGTGGAACTATTTCCC